ACACACACACACACACACACACACATTAACCAATTCATGTCTAACCCTAACCTAACCACAATTCACATCTTATCCCTGACCTTACCCAGGACCTCAGAAATTAAGTTGAGCCTCATGGACCGGGTTTTGGTCCCCATAGGGTCTACTGGTCCTGAGAAGCTCAATTTAAGCTGTGCACATGCATACACCCCCTTATGATTCTGACAGTACCCTATTTGGGGTAGGGTGCCATCTCCTGGTTAGAACACAGCATTTAAACTCAGTTCCCACCCATAGATGTGTTAAGTGTGGTGAGGGGATGGGTGGGTAAATGGAGTGCAATAAGGTCTCCGCTATTTTCTGTTGGGTTGCCACAAAGTGGAACAATTTTTCATGACCTGTCACTACAGGTTTAACCTGGATTATCAGGGTCACACCATCGCCACCAGCCACCTTTCATTTCCTAGCTCAGAGTGGGGATGAGTGTTTCAGTGTGTGCATTTAGGGCTGCGACTAACCTTATTAATCTATCAGTCGACTTCCATTAAGATGTATCGAATAACTGTTTTGTCTATAAAATATCGTGTTAAAAATAGTGAAAAATGAATCATACCCATCTCAAGTTCCTTTTTTTTTTTTGACAGTCTGAACCTAAAATATTTTACATTTACAACAACATGAAACAGAGAGAATTCTTATATTTCAGTTGCTGGTGGTGGTTATGCATCATAAACAACTTCTCTACTACTTTATAATAACCTAGTTATGCACTTAAGGATGTCTAGAAGTGACATTGGGCGGGTGGGTGCATGCATATGCCGGGTGTATACATGTGCATGTGTGACAGAAGAGTGTCTGCAGAGCTGAGTGCAGAGGCCAGAGGTAGCAGGTAAATCATTGGTCATCTCAGGCTAGTAAAAGAGGCTTAGTTTAAAAGACAGCAGAGGAAGAACCTTCAGAGGACTGCACGCATGAACTGTGCACTGTCTATAGTATGTAAACAGTGTGTGTGTTAGCGGAGAGTAACAGGCTTAACGCTCTGATCTCAATGACTGCAGTCGGGCTGCTCTGTTGACGCCAGCTGGTAAACATGCCCGTGTGGGCCAAGTCTATGTTTGTATGGCAGAGGGAGGGAGCTGCAGTGTGTGTTGTGCATGGATGAAATGATTGGGCAATAAAAAGCAAATAGACCATGATCAGAGTGAGTAGTCTGATTTGCAGGAGTGTCAGGATGTGGAATACCTGAACTGCCCACCTGATTCCAAAGAAGCGTGTGTGTGGGGGTGTGTGTGTGTGTGTGTGTGTGTGTGTGTGAGAGAGAAAGAAAGTAAGACAGAGACAGAGAGATGGACAGTTTTACAGCGATGTGTCTCCTTCATTTCTTATCTCCCTCCTCTCCTCTCCTGCACTCAATGTGAGAGCAGTTTCTCTCCTCTTTATGGCTCTTTATCTGACATGAAAGGCACTAACATGGGATACCCGCCATTACGGCTCCATCAACATGAAAAGCTCTGACATGGGATTCTCCACCTTGGCTCAGCCCATTAAGGATGACTGGTGATCCTGTGCTCTGTCAAGAAGCCGTCACAGGCAGACAGCGCCAACATAATGAGGACTTAAAACCTTAACCTTGCCTTCAAGTCCCCCCCGGTCAAAAGCAGCAATAAAAATCTCCGGAGGGCACATACTGGCTGGCCTGTTCAGTAATTACAACTCATGTCCTAGCACTAACCAAAAAGGTCCCATAGTTTAGATATACAAAGGAGTGTAAGACAGTTGAGGGGTCATAGGCCTAACAGCATGATTCGTATTCTCCAATGAACAAACTATCCGTCTGATTCTGCTTTTGACACGTCACCTTGTTCTCTCATTTCCACTGAATATCCTCTTTGAGAAAGAAATAAACCCAGCAAAAGCATTTTAAAAAATGTTGTATCCTCTCTTTGGACACACCTTGGGGCTTCATTGGTGTAAGACAGCAAGTCAAAAAAAGGTGAACAAGATTAATTATTCTTTCCGCAACACATTACCTCCTGAAACCGGAGCATCCATGAACACGGCACCCATTTTCTCTGCAGCTGCTGCCATCTCTTTTGACACTGAGGGGTCAATGGTGGAAGAGTCAATCAACAGTGTTCCCTTCTTTACCTTCCTAAAGAAAGCAAAACAAATGGCATTAGTATTTCATGTATAAGAAGTTTTGTCAGGTCAAACCTGTTCTCTTTGTGTAGAGTTTAAGTAGAGGCAGGACAGGGTTAATTGCATGAGTGTCACACAGTGTGACAGTAAAATAGGCTCACTTGAGGATGCCATTTTGGCCAGTGTAGACCTCTATGACATTGGGACTTGACGGCAGCATTGTGATGATCCGATCTGCTTTTTCTGCCACTTCTGCTGGGGAGTCCACTACCTGAATGTTGGGAGTTATCATCAACACAAAATAAACACCTCGATGAACAAAGTGCAGGTATTATAGCTCTTATGTGTAACAACCTGTTGGCTAAGAAACACATACTTTGTTGGATCAGTTCAAAAAGGGTGTATGTGTATTCATTAGCTTGCAGATACTCATCAATATTGAGTGTATTCTTAACAGATTTGGCCTGTTCAAAATAAGATTAAATGTGCACATTTTACCTGAGCACCCAGGTCCTGCAGTTCCTTGGAGGACTCTGGGAAGTTGTCAGTGGCAATAACAGGATAACCGTTCTTTAACAGGTTTTTGGCCATGGGACTGCCCATGTTTCCCAGACCAACAAACCCCACTGGTGTTTTTGAAGCCATTGATCGCATTGACACTGAGGGAGGAAAAAAAAAAAAAACTTAATATGAAAAACAATTGTCTAACGAGTGTCGGTTCAATGTCAGTGAATTGGAAATGTAAATATTATGTTGGAAATTCTCTGATTAGGATCAATAACAACTGAGAAAATCTTAATCTTTCTGCTGTAACATACCAGCAGCTTTTGGGAAGTCTGGCCAAGCTATTAAACAATGCTGGCTCAGGCAAGGTTCAGCCAGGTTAACAGACACTAAACTCAGTGGAAACTCTGGCGGTGGGCCAACCAGACTACAACAACAGAATTAGACCAGGAGAGTTAAGACCTAACAGAAAGCCTTGCCTTGAATTCAACCAACCCTTTAAAGCATTCAGTAGATACTAGGGGTGTAACGGTACACAAAAATCATGGTTCGGTACGTTTTTGGTATGTTTCCAGTACAGAAGAAACAAGGAAGTGCAAATATTGTACTGGTTAACTATGGATGTGTCTTTCTCACCAAAGTAATTTTTTTTGAGAGTTAAATAACAAAATAAACACTAGTAAGATAAATATCCATTAAGGTGCAGCATGTAAAAAAAATAACTGCACTTAAACTGCACCATTATTGTATTGTATGATTTAATATATGTATTTTCATTTGGTGGTCCTGCTGGCACTAACAATGTCTCTGCTGTGGAGAACACTCTCATGCTAGGGACAGAGTTTATAAAGGGCTGGTGTGACTTGCAGTCAGACAAGTAGCCTTAGCACTCTGATTCACTTTGCAGTCCATATTTTGTCATTGCACCCACTTTCTCTAAACGGAGCTAAGAAGAGCACCATAGCATCCTTACAAATCATATATAAATGTATTCCAACAACTGGATCATATGAGAGGTTTTAATTATATTTTACTACTACATAATTATAACTACATGTTTCAGAAGTTACTACATGTAATGCAATTATAAAATCAAAGTATAATCAGAATAAGAATCAGCTTTATTGGCCATGTACATACTGTGCATACTTCAGAAATGCAAAAGATAAAAAACGGTTTATCTTTTGTTAATGCAGCTGGGTTTAGGTCCAAGAACTTAATTGTCATTGTGCTAGCATGACAAAATTCTGAAAAGTGTGGTCCTCAAATTAAAGCATAGCTCTTAAAAAGATTTTCAAAAGAAATATTTCTATTCTATATTTTTTTAAATATAAGCATACTAAATATAAAATAAAGTCCTTATGTAACCAAAGGTTGAGGCATATAGTTCATATAGTTTCAGTAAAGTCACTGATATATATTAGTGTATTATAAATAATATGAATATTGCACAGTGCACGTAAGTAGTAGTATGATACATAAAGGGAGGGAGTGAGGGGACAGTGTTGGGGTGAGACTTCAGAGGGAAAACCGTCACAGAAATATGAGAATATAATATCCAGGATTCCAGGTTTATGAAGAGTTACGGGCTACATACATAGAAACATATCTACTACATGGGGGAGGTCCCTGAATTTCAGGTAGCATCATCCAAATCAATATCCACTGTTCCTGATTCAGAAACTTATAGCTGTGTGTTGTATTGTGGTATGGGACAATAGGAGAGGAGATTGAGGAGGCTTTGTGGCAGTGTTGGACTCAACGACTAATCCATGTTTGTGTGTTGTGTCCAGCAAACTGCAGTATTGTGACTGGCAACACGTCAAGCTAATCAATATAGAGTGAAACCCTACATGGATACAACATATTTACCATAGACTGTAGATATTTACATATAGAGGTCTTTGAAGAGATGCTTTGTGGGTGAGGATTAGCTATAGCCGGCTTCACATATCACTCATTACGCACAGTTTCCATGAGTGAGACGCACAGAGCAGGTGTCCGAACTCAGGGACACTGTGTCCACTCTGAAACCCTGAGCTAACAGGGACAGGGGTTGTTCATACTTTCCTCAGAGGGCTAACAACCTAGCTAACAGGCTGGAGCTCCGCTAGCATTTCACCCCCAGGACACACACATGCACACGAAACAAGGGGAAACCGACAACATGAAGCGAATACGTTACCGTGGGCAAGGTCGACATGCTTATTCCAGCGTAACAATACATTTCGTGACCCTCTAAACAGCGCAGCCATGCTTCTTTGCCTTGACCTCGGCGCACAGTGACAGCTGTCAAACCAGGAAACCCCAACAGAGTACTGCTGAGGTGAGGGCCAATCACAGCTCTCGGTGAAGCTCGACAGCAAATAGGAATGAGGCAGAGGCGGGACTTCCTGTGATTTTACTCGTCGTTGCCCTTTAGACGCTACTGTATGTGTTCACTCTATCACAGGAAAAAACGCAAAATTAAATAGTAACAATCATTTAGATATTAAAATATAAAACATGTTTCTGCAATGCTGGGCACTGCATATAAATTAAAACCCTCCTGCTACGTTTGCATTTGGGGTATTTTTTTTAAGTTTCAAAATGGAAATAGTTAAAATAAAGCCTAAAAAATAAATCAAATATTTTCATTAGATCATTTTTAGTTGTTTCAATTGTCATAGAAACCACGTTTTCCGTCTCCTCGTGAGCATCCTCAGCATCCTCTGTGCCGCACAGCATCCCGGAAGTGGGGCATCATCTGCTCCTTCAGGAGGAGACGCATCATCGTCTGAGCTGTTGTCAACAACGAGGACAGAGGCGAGAAACCCTTCGGCCTGGTCTGGCAGAAATCCACTCTCCCCCCACGACAAGTGGAGTTCCTACGAGAAGGGTACGCTTTTCATTTTCAAGCTAACTGAACAGCTCGTAATTCCCGTCTGTCGCGTGTCTCTGGGAGGATGTTTAGCTAGCTGGTGACTTGACACGACATGGCCTGTTCGCAAGCTAACGTTAGCTGCCTAGCCATCGTAAATAAGATTACCCTCCGGGCTGACTGGGCCACGATGACACGACAGAGCTGTCCTGTAACGCTTTTACAACTCGTTCACTAAGTGTCGGTCGCTGCTGCTCAGTGTACAGACAGTGTTGTGGTAGCTGGTTAGCTGAAGCGAGCCTCAGTTATGACTCACTGTCATTTATCCCAGTCACCAGTCCAGGGCTGGGTCACATGCTAATGTAGGGCAGGGTAGTTTTATTGTTTTAGCCTTGTTGTCATCCATGGCAGGGATGCTGCATCACTTGCAAATAACCACGCACATTCTCACTGGGTCCTCTTTCTCCTCTCCACCAAACCATATGCATAGTTTGAGCAATTTAAATCCAGGTACAGCAAGGTGCTTATATATAATGGTTTGATGGTGCATACGCTTCATTTTCAACTTGGTTAAAGAAGAACTGTTATTAAGAGGTGCTGCAGCAATTTATTATTATATTTCCATTAAGCTTCATGAGAGATTTTATGAAAAAGAGTGGTTAAAGTGATGCCACAGATATTTCCTGGCTTTACGTCCGCAGTATGTGTCATGTTCCAATAATACTGGATGCTGCATTATCTGTAATGCTATATAAAATCATTGTAGTCTTATACTGTCACTGCCTGGTTTAAGCCCACAACCTTTACTCCTCATGTAATCACCCTCCCTAAGGATAGGTTACACTACTGCTTTCATATACTGAATATTACCTTCTCACTCTGACTAGTAAATCTGTAAAATCAGAGTTCCCCCTTAAATAAAAGTACAATCATACTCTATAAAAATACTCCCATTACCAGTAAATGTCTGACATACAAACTCATGCCCTTCCCCTGCTGTTACAGAGACAGCAGGGGAAGGGCTTTTTGTCGATAATGCTTGTTCGCATACTTGCTGCTGTTACAAGGCTCTACCTAAACAACAGAAGACTTCTTTATCTTCTTATTCTGATCAGTTATCGCACAGAATTCATGAGACGTTATTCAGCGTAAACATAAACATCTATGCACGCACCTTTAACAACATTAGTGGATGTAGAGTACTAAAAACCCTGTGTCCAGAGGTGGTTATGCATCATACATCTTTTTTACCAAAGGTCCTCAAACCGAGGGTGGGCTACCCTGGGGGGCAGAGAGCCACTGCATAGGAGGCTTGGATAAATGCTGTCATACTTGTGTGCATGACTCAGGATGAGTTGTATATTTCCTTCACTCTTTTTATACTCACTGTCTGACTTTTCTCTGCTGCTCTTCCCTTTCAGACAAATGAAGTGACCATTAGGATACAATGTCATCTTTCCAGGTGGTGGACTCGTCGCCAGGCAGCAGCGTCAGTATCATGGAAACGTCCAACTTTGCCCATGTCATCTTCCAGAACGTGGGGAAAAGTTTCCTGCCGCAGGCGCCCCTGGAGTGTTGCTACACCCTGACCCCCTACATTACACCCCACCCCAAAGACTGGGTGGGCATCTTCAAGGTACATCACAAACGCACACACACACAAACACACACACACACACACACACACACGCACACACACACACGCACACACACACACGCACACACACACACGCACATACACACACACAGCTGTTATTACTAAGAGCATCCTTCAAAGACACAGCTAAGCACAATCACTTCAGAACCAGGCTTTTATAAATCTGAAATCAGTTATAGTACAAAGATCTACATAGTGATTGGAGCTGTTCCCAGCCCATTACATAAGTGTTTGTGACATGTATTATGTGTTAGGGGTTTATTAATTGGTCATAGGTTTGAACTTGGCACATTAACACATACATCCGCCCCGACACTAATGCTTCAACTCTCCGGTACATGCCTAAAACCTCACCACAAGCTTTGGTGTGGTTGCTGTGCATGCAGAAAGAGGAAGAGTGTACATGGTGGGCTGGTTACAGTAGGTCTCGCTGGGGGGCAAACATTTGTTGCTCTTAATGAACCACTCTGATTCTTATTAAGGACCTTTCCCCCCACCAACTTCACTTCTTTGTCCCCCCAATGTCTTTCCGTCAGTCTCTTCTCCGCTTCCTGCTAAACAACCTCCCCCCTCGGCTTCGCTCTTTTATCAAGGCCATCAAATCTCACACGTAATTAACAGGAAATGTGAACTCGGAAACTTAATGTCTCGTAAAGTCGAAAGACAAACATTTTATCGTTGTTTAAGAACTGACTTCAAATCCACCAGCTCAATTAAAAAAGAATAAAGATGCTGGGTTTATTTGGAAAAAGTCAATTGGAAAATTTAATTGTTGTAATGCATGCTAATGAAACCTGTTTCATGGTTAGCGCTTCATGTCAGGGAACAAGCAGACTGCACTTCTTTTTATTCCTTTTGACGTACATGTCTGTCGTCTTGTGCGTTCATTTAATTCATATTAAATTCCATCAATATGATTGTATATATATTATTAAGTTCAGCTCATTTCTTCCTTCTATCAGGATGGCATGTGCAAACATGTCACAAGGTGTGCTTTTAGAAATAATAATTTGCCACTTTGTTCGTAATTGGAAGTGAGCTGACACCACTATATAAATACTAACGAATCTGATATGTTGCCTTTGGTGTTTGGAAACGATACTGAAAAAAATCAACAGGTTGTTGGATTAATATGAATGATTTATTGGGTTTGAATTTCCCAGAGTGCTGATGATCAACATTAATAAAAAAATGTGAATGTAATATGAGTACTTTTGGCTCCAAGAGGCAAAACCTTTGTGCAGGGATGACTCAGGGAGAGAGCATGTTCCCCCCCTCTGCTTTCACATCTATAGGCGTTACCTGTTTCAGACAGAGAGAGAAAGAGAGAGAGAAAGAGAGAGAGAAAGAGAGAGAGAAAGAGAGAGAGAAAGAGAGAGAGAGAGGAAGAGAGACTGAGCCATAAAGCTGAGCTGCTGTGAAGATGACTCAGACTGCTCTGGCAGATGCTGTTAGTTTGAGTTGTGCACAGACACCACCTAGTGGCTGGTAATGTCCATACTACATGATAATGATCCTTGGAAGAGAAACTTTCTGAGATGATGGTGATTTCTAACTCACTCTATTATATACACAGTAAACAGTGTACAACAGTGCACATTCAAATCAAGCTTGTCAAGTTCTGCTCTGTCTTCCAGCATTTTGGTAATCTTTTTCATGGTCAAACACATTTTTTTCTGCATTAGTCTAGAAAAAGTTCTGTTTAACTTGTCACACACACACACACACACACACACACACACACACGTAACTCCTAAAAAGCCCTGTGGAGTTTTTTTTTTTGGGTCATGGCATGTCTGTTGGGTCGACAGGGAGAAACCCGTTGTGTGAGTGTATAATTAACGTGTCATCATGCTGTCCCCTCACACCTTGGTTGAATGATTGATAGCTGCTATGCCTGTGATTATTTTATAACATCACTCCATGTTGGAATTCCACACCATACCTAGCTAAATGTCAGTCAACTTCACTCTGCAATCAGCAAAATTATTTATGTCCTTTCGCTCTTAAGCAAATACACGTGAGGACACAAGCGAAGTTGGAGGGCGTCCACTGCTGCCAAGCCTCTCACTGAAATACTGTCGGAGGTGGAAAGAATGTTCTTGGCTTAGGTTGCCATGCTGGCTATCACTATTTGCTTGGAATAGCATTATACTCAGTGTAATTGGTTGATAAGGTAAACACTACAATTATCAACATAACAGAATTTTACCTGAGATTTTGACAAATGTTTTGAGTAGCTCAGTTGATTTACGGTTACCAGGTTAAGCTTCTGAATGCTTTGTCAGGTTTTGTCCAATTCTTATTTTTTTCTTGCTAGATTTATATTAGTTAAATTCATTCAGTTTTAAATGTTTTTTCAATATCCAACTGTATAAATGGTTTTCAGGAACCATTTGAAATTTATTAGCACCTTACAGTTTTGGAATGTTATAGCTCATTTTGAAAGTTAAACAAAAGCGAGTTACCCCTCCCAGTGTTTTGTGTAACCTGTAATTTTCTATTCACCCCACAGTCGTTAAGCAACCACCTAAATGGCAATATGATATGATCATTACCTGACAGCTGTCCAAATAACGAGGCTTCTCTCTTGTGCCACTTTTGTGTCGCATAGTGCCCACAGGTGGTTTACTTGAGCACAGCTGAAGTGCAGCTCTGAAATGTCACAAACACGTATCGCACATGTGAGCTGAAACGAGGTGTGTCTACGTATGTTAGCAGCCCTGACAGGGAGAGTGTGAAGTTTGCGCGCTACAGATTTACGGGGCAGGACCAGAGTTATGATCTACACAACTCCATGTCA